TACAACTCTGCCCTGGCCTGTCCTCATCTTCACTTGCTCTTGCTTTTTTTTTTCTTTAGTAATATTTATTGAGCTATATATAACTCACAAACCATAAAACTCACCCTTCACTTACTTTCGGGACCCTGTTTACCAGTAATTATCAAGTTTGAATTCAAGAATTCCTAACTAACAAAGGACCAGTGGTGACAAGAGAGGAGGGGGAAATTAAAAAATGAAATGTGGTAAAGTAAGTCTTCTCTCCTTTTTAAATTGATTCTACAAAGTGTAAATATTTATATGCCTTACTGTTAAAGTGTACAGCTGAAATTTATTGGATTTCATTAACCAATGTCACCATAAATTAATTAATTAATTAATTAATTAAATTTAAAAAAAGAATCCTTAACTACATGACATGAAATCAACTGTTCATTTATTATAAAAATTCAAATGCCTCTATAGCATTTCAGCAAGAGTTCAAGAAGTACTTGTGAGCACCTGTTCTGTGTTCTCATAATATACATATCAGTCACTGAATACTTGTTGCATGCTAAGCATCTGACATACAATGTATCATTTAATCCTCATAGCAACCCTGAAAAGTGAATACTAGTAGTTCTTTTCAAGTGGGAAACTGAGGCTCGGAGAGGTTAGGTAACTTACTCAAATAGCCTTGCATAGAAGGTAGATTTTGAATCCAGGTCTGTCAAGTTTCAAAGCCCGTGCTCTTAACCACCTCAGGCCCTGTCCCAGTGTACTTCAGAAATATTGGAGATAAAGGTGGACTAGATGCTGCTCCTGCCTGGAGAAGCAGGAAAGATAAAATATTTTGTCTCAATACAGCCCTGAAATATTTTGACTGCATTGAATCAGCATCTGCCCATCAGCAAAGTTGTAAAAATGCCAGCCACTGTCACCTGGGTGTGGGCCACAGGGGTGGGAGTCTGATGGGGGAGAAGAGGTGCCAGAGAGATGGGAGGCAGGCTTCCGGGAGGTACCGCAGGAACCTCAAATCTGTGCTTAAGAGTCCAACATGTCTGCCCCTGCCATGAAGGAAGGAGTCCCAGGGAGCACATTCAAGAGTCCATGATCCCCCCAACTCTACCTTGAGCACTCTTGGGATGACTGCAGCCCGCGGGCCAGGGGTGCTTCACTTTCCAGGCTGACAGTGAGCTCAGGGGTTCTTTCAGCCATGAACCCAGTCCACATGGGTCAAAATCATCACTTCCTGATTGAGCAAATATTGATGAGTGCCAAAATATGCCAGGCACTGGGCTTAGAGCAGTGACCAAAGCAGACAAGAACCCCTGACCTCACAGAATTTGACATTCTAGCCTTGCATCGATAATGTGAGGGCACTGGCAAGAGCTGCCCCAAAGAGTGCTGTCCTAGAGGGCTCTGGGTGACCCCCAAAATAAGGAGGCTCTGCAGAGGCCTTGTGAAAACAAGACCCCAATGACTAAAGCAGCCACCTCGATGCTGCTCCTTTCATTGGATTTCTTCCTGTCTCGCTCTCCCTGCTCCTTCACCCTGCTTCTCGGGATCGGCTCCCAAACTACCTATACGCAAGCCCTGATCTGAGGCTCTGCCCTCTGAGGAACCCAGCTATAACTAGCCTCATGTCTGCCCTACAAGGCATGCAGTTTTGTTCCCATCCCCATTTTGCAGATGAGGAGACTAAGACATGCAGAGGTGAAGTGACTTGCTCAAGGCCACACAGAGTAAAAGGGATAAGGACCCAGGGCTTCTGGCTCTGAATCCAGCTAAAAAAATTATGGATGAGGACAAGCAGGCAGGGGAAACCCTCAGCTTTGCAAAGGGCGTTCTCAGAAGAATGGTGGTTGGGAGGATGTCTTGTAATTTACTGTCAATCAAACCCTTGGCTGCACTTACAATATCAGATGAAAAACAAAACGGCAGAGCTATAAATCACCAGTTAGAGACTATGCCCAGGAAGCTCCCTATACCTCACCAACCCCCGGGCAGGAGGACTTCACCGCTTCACTCCCACTCTGCAATAATCTAATTTTAAAATCATACCTTTTTAGAGTATCAGATAGATTGTTTATTAGTAAATTTAAATTTTATAGGTTAAAACTTGTTTCGAAGGTCAGCATGAAGATGTTCTTTCAAGTTTTTAGGAATCATCCTCATTTATAAATGAGGATACTAAGGCACAGAGAAATAAAGTGTCTTAAGGTCACATAGCTTATAAATACCATAGTAAATAGTAAAACTTGTAAATGGTAAAATTATAAATCGTAAAATGGTAAAAATCATTTTAAAAAATAGTAAAAGAAGTGAAATGGTAAAACACCAATTTGGTCAGCCTCTGTGAGACTGAGCTGGAAGCAAAGGTCTACCTAGCAAAGAACAGTAAGTCGGAAGGAACCAGGGCACATCTTAAATGTCCACAAGGTATGAAGCAAGCACCGGGTAAGATGGCTGATGTGGACCAAGACAATCAGCTCTCTGGACCTATCAGTTTGCAATCTTAACAAGTCCAACATCTTTACTCTATAGATGAGCAACCGAGACCCAGATAGGAGAGGATTTATCCACGATAACACAGCTCCGGTGAGGCCAGGAACAGATCTAGGACTCTCCTCCCTACACTCTGGAAATCCACACTCAGAAGGGGCAGGTGGGAGGTGTTTTAGGTGCGAAGCCCGGAGGCAGGTCCTATGGGGAGGGCTTCTGGCTAGAGGAGTCATGGAGTCGGGGTTTGACTGAGAGAGGATGAGAGACTGCCCCTAAAGGTTTGGCTTAATATGCAACCAGGAAATGCAGTGTTCCCCCAAGCTGAGAAGCATGTCCTTTCCTTGAGACTTCAGTGCACTGATAAACTGCTTGTTATCCTCCTAGAAGGCTGTTCCAGAAGCACGGACAGACTGCAATGTGACCTTTTCCCCAGGTCTCCCTTGACATCGCCCTCTTCTGGCCACTCTTAACATCAGCATAGCCCAGGGAGAGGCTGAGGGGTTGGGAGGATCAAGGATGGCTATGGAGGATGTGTGGAGCCCACCAAACCACACTCCCAAGATCCTCTACTTTCCAGGCCTACCCGCCCATCTCATCCTGTCTCTGAAGTCGCTCAACATGCATGCCCCAGTTAACCAGCATGTTCCCAAAAATTACTGGAGAAAAATGAGGCCCCAACAGGCAAACCTCAGGGTTATTCTTCAAGGCTGAAATCAGGAGCTGAGAGCTCTTACGGACAGACCTATGGCCTTTTCACCTGGATCTGCAGCACCCCGAAGTCCTCAATACATTCCTGAAAAAACTGATCACTTCCCCATCCAGACCACAGCTGCCCACACTGCCTTCTACAGCCCTCAGCTCACATCCAGTGGAGTCAAGGATCTGACAGGTGTCAGTGATGGTTGATCCACCCTCTTTAGGCCCCATCCCATTTTTTGCAGCCTCAGTGTCCCAGCAAGGCCATCATTCCTACAGTACTCTACAGATCCTTCTCCCTGTCATGATCTAGGTCCTATGATGAATTGAGATACCTCAGTCAGGGCTCACACTGCCTGCTGATAAGCTCTCAAATTACCCAGGAACCAAGTCTGTCCACCTTACCAGTTCCACGAGAAGCCCCACAAGGTACAACAATAGGTGGGTATTCTGAAGGAATCTTTCCACACCCTAAGACTAGACCCCTCAAGCCTGGTTTGATCTTCAACATTCAAAAGATTCTCAGGTCTCACAATCCCCTAGGTCCAGCTCTGACCTGCCCAATGCCCATCCTAGACCACAGCTGCTGCAGTGGCAACATAAAGTTAGTGCTATCATCATTATTCCATCTGCAGAGAATTTTCTCATAAATCTGAGTCCCCTTATAATTACTGTGTCCAATTTAGAGATGAAGAAACTGAGGGTGCTTCTCCAGGGAGTGAAGTAATTGGGCCTCTGGCCCACGACACTCCCACAGACCTGGCTAACCACTTGGGAGAAGCACCCAGCCCTTCTGCGGATGGAGGCAGCCTCTTTCCTTCTGTTTGCTCACCTGGGCAGGCCGTTCAGTGAAAAGGCCAGTCCACGCCTAGAGGTAAACACCACTGGGAGTAGGGGGACATGTGCCTGGCCACCTGCCAGAAGCAGCTCGGCGGGCCTCAGACACCATTCTCTCCCAGTAGCGCGAGTACCCCTCTGTCTCAGCTGGGAACCGCCCCATACCCATAGGCTTTCTTTGGAACATGCGTATGGACCCTTTTGGGGCTGGCGCCTCCACTCTTCTGGCTTGGAAGCCGCTCCTCTCAGGACACACGAGCCTCTTGGTGGCTCGTGGGAAGCAAGAGCTGTAGCGCTGCGGCCGCAATTTGCGCCAAAAAGACCCGCGCATCCCAGGACGCCGCTTCCTGGCCGGATTACGGCACCTGCCAGCTTCCATCTTCGCCAGCCCAGGGCGACCCCCAGGCCGGGACCACACTGACGGGCCACAGGGAAGTTTGCTTCAACTCGAGTCGTGCACATTCTCCCTGGGCGCTCCTTTCCTTTTGCCTGCTTGAAGCTTTTTAGTTTTTTACAATTTTCTTTCCAAGAGCAGCCAGCCACAAGATGTTGGGAAACTTTGCGCGAAACTTAAAAATGCCGTGAAATCAGAGCCAGCGACTCCAACGGAGCCTGGGAACGCTGCGCCCGGCCCTGGTCCTCCGCTCTAGCCTAACGCGTCCGGCGGTGGCCTGTGCTGACCACCTGGCTGTCAGGCGGCCGAGGCACTCACCCCAGCCCTGGGCGCCCTCTCGGCTTCGAGCACCCGCCCTGATTCGCTTCGGGAACGCTCCGGCGGCCGCCACCTCGTGCGTGCCGCATACCAGGGGCCAGGACGTCCCAGCCCAAGTGGCATTTCAGCAGTTCCTCTGGGCATTGTTTTCCCGGGAAGCCTGGGGGACCGCAGGGGAGGGGAGGGGAGACCCGCCCCACAGACGACAGCAAGGGCTTGCCCACCACCTCATTTGCATTTCAAAGGAAAACTTCTACCGGACTTCCCCGGCGGCAGCGACGGCGGCACCTACCGGCTTTGCACGGGTCGTGGTAATGCTCCAATTGCTGCTCCGCGCCCTCCTCGCCTTCCAGCGCCGAGTAGTCCGAGACGGCGTCGGAGCGCTCCCCGCGCCCCTCGGCGTCGCGGGGCAGCGGCAGCAGCGGCAGCAGCAGCAGCAGCAGCAGTGGCCCAAGGGCCCCGAGCGCAGTCGCTCGGGGCATGGTTGCGAGGGGTCGGCAGAGACTTGAGGGAGTTGCGTGCACGGAAAGCTGGGCTGCGGCGAGGGACGGTGCACTGGGTCGAATCTACGGCGACCCAGGCGCGGAGATTACGCGCGGCTGCCCAGCATGGCTCCGCACGGAGCGAACAGAGCCTGGAGCCCCGGCCCGCGTCGGGGCTCCCAGGAAGCCGCCGCTCCGAGCTACTTGCCGGGCGGCCAAGGCTGCGGCGGCTGCGACTGTGGCGGTGGTTAGAGCAGTGGCCGCTCCGCCCCTCTCCACCCGGGATGCACCACACAGCCCTCGCCAGGGGCCCGGGGCAGCCAATCACTCGGGCGCCCGAGGCGAAGCCCCTCCTCCTCCCGGCACCTCCGCAACTTCGGAGGAAGGGGAGCGAGGTGAAGATGCTGAAGGCAAGGACCCGGGGCTCGCGGCGCTACCACCGAGCCTAGGGCGCCCTTCTGTGGGCGTCACCTCAGCATCCGGCCCCGGAGAACGTTGCTCCTGAAGATCAAGGCTGGACTTCCCGCCTTGTTTTATTCTCATAAGTCACTTTACAACTCCCCGATACACACGTGGGCGCAGGCAGGCAGCAGTGGTGAGAGCTGGAGCGCAGGACCAGGAACCCCATGTGAGCTGAGCGGTACGCTTCGCTACCAACAATGTGCTTTCGGACAGTCGTTTCTCTGCGAGGATGAAGTGAATCTACTCTCTCGTTGCTTTCAGCGCAGAAAAAAATAGAGGATTACAATTCTCAGCTTTCTCAACATCCCTTCGTGCAGCCATGAAGGGTGCTTGTTGCAGCACCCACCTAACCTAGTGGCTTAGAGAAGAATGGTTTAAAGTGACGGATTTCCCCTCTAAGTGACCCTATCCTTTAGTAAGTCTAAGATGTTTCATACAGGCAAAAAGATTGACAAATGAACAGCTGTACGTGCTATTTGTGTTAAATTGCAGACATGTTTTATTAAATAAACCATTCACCATTAACTTGATGGACTAAAAATGACCAATTTCTGTGGGGGTTTTTTGCAATTAAAAATATATGCCCAAATAATTTAGGCAATACAGAGATATTTAAAACCCGTTCCTATTTTGTCCTTTAAATGTAAAAATTGTCAGAATTGAGACCTTTTGATTTATAGATATAAAAGGTATTATTACTACCATGAGGCTTTTCAAAGACCTTTTATACAAGCAAAATTGCCCTCCCTAATCAAGGAGTAAAATACACCAAAGTGTACAGATTTTAAGCATCATGCCCAGTAGAATCTTTTTTCATTTAAATTGCAAGTAGAAAAATGGACCAAACTTCCCTTTTGGGTTTCCACATGGTTTCACAGCCTCTGATGACAAAATAGTCAATAGGGAGCCCAGAGTTGGGCTTTACACAGGACTCTGAATTTCCTGCTTTATGATCATCTGTCTTCTCATCTAATAACGATGATAATAAGTCCATCAAACTAGTAAAGGTTTAACAGTTAACCACTGTAAGGGTGCTAACTGGATAGTCTGCGCTGGCCCTTAGGAAGAAATGCAAGTTGACCCTGCTTCATGCTATTTTCATCACACGAGCACATACAAGATGGAGCCAGATTGAGCAAGATCTGGTTAGGAACTGACAGGCAGAAGGAATTTGGGGCGACTATATGCCACCAAATGGCAGGGAAGGCCAAGTGGCCATTAAACAGGCAATAGTCGTGGGAAGGGGTAGAAGGGCATTTCTGCTAGAATGCTTTAAGGAGTCAAACCCAACGCCATAGATCTCTGCATTCAACCCAGTGAAGGTCACCACCTGCCAGTACACAAGTCCACAGTCAACACCTAAAAGGCCTAACTTCTGTGACACTTCCAGGTCTCCAGATGGCACTAGGCAAACAGCCAACTGGCGTCTTCATTAGCAGTGAATTCCTCCAGAAAATAGACATTACAGGCAACTTGTGCAAGCACTGAGGTTGAGCTTTTATTGCTTCTAATCTGCACCTGGTAAGTAGCTGCCAGGTCTTCTCACCAACACTCTGTGTCCAAATATTTTAAAGACAGTGGTGCTCCTGGATAATCAAGCTACAGTTTTATATCAGAATCCCTGTTTAGATGCTACTTTTGCTATCAATCAACAAATATCAACAAAATATTTGGATCACAGAATAGAAAGGTTAGGTAGGACAAACTGAAAAGGGATGATTAATATTTTTTCTCATTTCTAAGGTTCCTGATTTCACTCACCACTTTTACATATTAAACTCTGACTGGGGTTCAAATAATTGTTTACATATACATTTTTTTTAAGTCCTATGAAAAATTTGAGGTAGATTTAAAAGGCCTTGTAATCTAAAGATGCTCAACCTCATTCCATTATTAAATTCACATTATTTATGGGCTTCCTCCTGCATAGCTCCCTCCATCCATCATCACACCTTCCTTTCATGATTCCAGCCTTGGCTCTTGCCACCTCCATCTCTCCACTCTTGTTGCATTAAACACCCTGCAGTCACCTTGCAGCTTCACACCTCCATGTCTTTGTGGGGGACTTGATAACCATACAGCCTGCATCCTCATGCCAACATCTATTATAGCAGCTACCACACTTATGACATGTACTTATATCTGTCCTACCCTAGTGTCCTGTAGCTTGCAGCAGATGGTTTGATAAACTCCAAACTTGAAACCAATTTCCATGTATCACTCTCTAGACCCTCCCTTCCCTTTGAGGTTAAGTCCCATAATCTTAGATTGAACCACTACGAATAACCGTAACATTGGCCAATTAAAATGACTTACATCGACTTCTCCCTACAACCATCTCCTGCATTTCTAAAACTTGAAATTCCTATCACCTTATGTAAAACTTGGAAAATAATTTTAAATACATGTGCAGACTACATTACCATTGACTCCACATTTCCCAATGCCAGTTTATTCCTCTTTTCTAATGTTAAAACCATAGAATTACAGTTTAATAAAAGTTCTCACTTTTAAATCTAGAAACTGGCTGTATGATGGATTTCCTTATACCCCTAGTTCCAACCAGACAAAAACTGTTCATTAAAGAGATCAAAAGCACTCCAAATTTATACTAACTTAAACTATTTGGCTAACAGGAATGATCAACTATAGACATTGACTGAGGCAGCTAGTTAAATCAGGAGAAAAGAGAACCAAGGAGGTTGACAAGGATTTAACTAGTTAAAACTGGAGGTGTAAAACAAGAGGTATGAACACACCAGGAGAAACTAACCACTGATTCTGATGCAGCACAATAAAAATAATCCCTTCTGTCAGTACAGAACACTCATTTTCAATGTGATCTCTACATATATTATCTACTCCACAGGCTGGAGAGGTGACATCCCCATTTTACAGTTACAGCAGTCAAGACAATAGAACCCTAACCATGTAAAATAAGAGACCTTTGGCTGCTCTAGTTTCTTAGATATAAAACATAGTTATCTACCCTATTGGCTTCACAGGATGGTTGTAAGTGTACATGTCTGAAACTCCTTTGAAAAAGTAATAAGTACTAGACAAATGCAATCTATTATCAATCAGAAGAATGACAGGTATGGGGTAGTGGGGTTTTAGTGTAGGAGTCAGTGCTTGCATATACAAAAAAACTCAAAAGAATGAAAATAAAAGAGAAAAATAACCTTTTAAAAAACAACCCTTATTCATTGTACCATTCTTTCAACTTTCTGTACATTTAATTTTTTTTTTTTTTTCAAAATATAAAGTTGGGGGGATCCAAATCTTAAATTTTAAATCCTTTGTTTCAGGGGTCAGCAAACTATGGACCACTGGCTGTTTTTGTTGTTGTTACATTGGAACACAGCCATGCTCATTAGTTTATGTCCTATCTACTCAGTGCTATAATAGCCGAGTAGTTGCAACAGAGACAATATGGTGGTTCTCAAAGCCTCAGATATTTCCTATTTGGCCCTTTACAGAAAAAGTTTGCTGACCCCTGCTTTATTTAACTGTGGAAAGCTATTAGCAATCCCTTCACATGCATGCCAATAATAATGGGTTGTCTCTTATGCTTGGTCCACCTGTTTCAAAAAGGAAAGAAATAAAGCATCCAAGGGAAGTACATTTAACTTTTTATTACTTTTTAAAAATCCAACTTCAGTTAGAATAACAAGACTAGATTAGAACCTCAGATGTATTTGATACATTATATACTGGATTTCTATTAACTAAAAAGCTAGTTGGAATATGGCCGATACAAACCAAGGTGTGTACAAAATGGAAGTAATCACAGAGCAATAACTGTTTCCTTCCAATTCTGTCACCAATTGTCTCTGCCCTGTGAGAATTTACATAGTCAAGTTTGACACAGTTGAAAGCCCATGTTGGACTGCTTTTCCAAGTATACTCTGTTGCCTTTCAAACAGAATTCCATATTATTTCTTCCTTGCCTTAAGCTCTTATAACATTTAAAACTTTCAAATGACCTAAACTTAAGAATTGGAGAAACACAGAATGCTGCTTTATCAGTCAATTATTAGCAAGCCTAGTTCACCAAATAGTTCAACATAGGCAGCTTTCACAATAGTTCTTTATTTCCATTTCCTAATACAGTGAAATAAGTACCTAATTTTTACTTTTGTCTTTGCATACTTTTGCCTACGGTTCCAATGTCAAGTCAGATGGCTTTTAGAAAGGGCACATATCTTGCTCACAGGCAAGACTTAGAGTTATTCCTCATACTGAATTTAAACCTCACAAAATTTCAGCAGCTGAATGTTAACTTTCTGATCTATCCTACCTCTAAATCTAGTCTATTTCTGCATACGCTTCCAAAGAATCTTTATAAATTGTCATTTCTCTTATCTCTTTAACATCTTGATTGCTAAAATATAGCTTGGTAACTATGGAATTTTTATGACAATATAAAACATTAATGAGTTCCTGTGTTTTCATACATCACTACTCCTATTTGTGTTCTAATAAATCAATAGAATAAAGCACTAAAACACGCTGAAATCTAAACTTAAACCCAGATGGAACTACAGTGTACAGATTACAAACAGGCTTTTCTTTCCTAGACTTCATATACAGAAGCCCTTCGGCATGTAGCTTTTCCTGAACAAATTACATTAATATGCTTTTACTTTTTTACATTTGTAAAAATTCAGGAAAATTTTAAATAACATTTGCAAGACATTTGGCATATGGTGGTTAGTAAACATTTAAGAAACAAAAAAGCTTTATCAAAATGAATAAAATTTGTGGATAAACCCTACATAAAGTGGTTTTCGGAAGAACTTGAATTTGCAGCAACCACCTTTAAAAGAAGTCCATCCACTATCAATGGAAAATGCCCAACCACACCATTCACTAGATGAATATACTATTCACCATATCATTCACCATTGAGATAACACCACAAAATAATGAATTCTAAGAGTATGAGGCTTGATTTATGGGCAAACCCAGTACAATCTAGGAGCCTAACATAATTTACTAAAGAATGCTTTACCATCCCTCCAGCCATTACATTTCCACCTTATTCTACTCCTGTACTAGGATATACATATTTAACAATACCAATGACTAACGTAGCTAAATTTCAGGAGAAGCATGCTTATAGATACGAGGGAAGTTTATCCTTAGTTTTTGATAATGTTCAAAGCATTAGTTGGGAAGTTGAGCAAATAATGCTAACAAATGAAAGCCAGATACAGCATTAATGGAATGGAAAAACCCCACCCTTGAAGTAACTTAAATAATATTTTATTTTACTATTCTACAACTGAGAGTTAGGGAGCTAAACCATTTGTGAACTACATCATCTTCAAGACACCATACCCAGCCCCTCTATGAAGCCATAAATCAATCTATATTTTCTAAATGACTTTTCAAGGTGATTTATATTCATTTTAATGGAGCTCTGAATGTTATTTGGAAATTAGAAAACTATTTTTCACTGAAGATTCCAAATTTAAATAGAGCTCAATTTAGTAGGAAAAACTGGTGTACCTGAAAGCAGTTAAACCCTCATTCTTTAAAAACCCTACATCTTACCTGCAAGATTCATAAGAAACAAATTTCATTTTATTATGACAAAAGCTTGCTCTCCAATTTACACTCCATCAGACAGACTGTATACTGTTATAAGTACTTTACATGTAGTTAGAAAGTTACATAATATAAGCCATTAAATATTGACTTCTAGTTTCTTTTCTTATAAGATCTTAAAGGCAGGTAAAAAGGAAGAGAAAATGGAAGAACCAGTGTATTATATTTAATATAACATTCTGACTTGAAGAAGAGGATTTACCTACAGCTTCTGATCAACTTTGTTTGCTAATGTCAGCCACACTTATGTGGTAAGAAAACAAACTTTTCACTCTTTATAGTCCCTACATACCACATGATAGGATGCAGAGTCTATTATTTTATAGAAACATTTTATAATGAAAACATCTTATGAGACTATTAATGGCATGAGTTTCACAATAAGGTTTAAATACAGCTGTTTTGAATCTTTCTAAAAATACCAATATACAGTATTGTTTTAGATGGTCATTTGCATAGCAAACTATTAAACTAGAAACTCAATGGTTCTAGGAAAACTTCTCATTATGGATAGTTCCAGAAAGATGTATTCAAAATTAAAATGACTTCTCTTAGAAACTGTAACCTTTATTTGCTAATCCAATTGTAAGCTAACCCCTTTTACCCCCATCCCCACTTCACAGGGTACACACCAACCTGAACAGATTTTGTGCCACAATTTCATTCAAAGGACTTGTCATTCACTTTATGACTGTACTGGATAATGTAGATGTAAGCAAGTTTGGGATTTTAAAGTGTGGGTCCCCTGTATTAGAAAAGCATAGTTTACAGTATATTTAAAAATTGCATTCAGTAATATTGTCTTTTGAAACAATATCTTCAAATTGCAAACACATCTATTTTCACAAAACAATTTGGTCAGGAAATTTTATTTTAACATTCTAAAGCAGTAATGCTTTAGATGTTATTATTTAAGTGCCCCAGACAGGATTAACAAAATTAAATGTTTCTAAATTACAAATTTAGCTCCTGTAGGAGTCTCAGAAAAGTAACAGAAGAAAACAATCCCCCCTCCCAAAAGAAAGACACACACATTTTGAAGAAACCCCAATGTTTCATGCAGTGGTAGGCAAGATGTAAAAAGCCATCCAAAATTCACACATTTCTACACCAATCATCATCAGAAAAAAGTACTCTGAAGTCAATCTGTACATCCAAATGCATTTGGGAATCTACACCTACGTTACATTATTTAATGTTATATACATTTATTACCCACCCCCTTGTTTTTAATAATTTCTTATGTAAAACCTTCATTCAAACCCAAAAAAGATGTAAGACTAACTTGGGGGTGGGGAGGAGAAAAGATAATCACTTTAGACATTCAGTTAAAATGAAGTTTATCTAAATCTCAAAATGTTTAATAAAAACAAATATCTTCTCCATTTAACACTTTGCTTTCTAACTGTACAGTAAATTGCATTGTAGAGAGTACACCTCTATCATCAGACTGTATCTTCTTTGGATGGAATTAAGATGTAACAGGAGAGTTTAAAGATAAATAAATGGGAAGTTGGTCCAACTAAGATGACAGCAGATATATTACATGCAGGATTTAATATTTTTACTTCTCTTTAAAAAAAAAAAAAAAAAAGATGCAGTTGAATTGAAAAAAAAAAAAAGGTCAAAAAAGAACCCAGATTCAATATATAAAAATGTCCCACAATAGGCTGATGATAGCAGTAAAAATAAGAGAAAAAAGTAATCTTTCTGGAACATCATTTTTCAATAACGTAGAAACACTAAGTGCCAGGAAGATTTCTATTCATGTAATTTTAGCATCCAAGTTTTCCTCTATTTATTTTATTGGAACAAATGCTTTCAATAAACTTTGTCCTCTTCACTGAAGAGAGCTGGTCTATTTCATCTTTAATGAGCTAGTTTTTGGGAAGATTAGCCATGTACTGTAGTAATGCCTACTGCATAAAATCCAAGCATTTGCTGTGAACAGTTGGAGAAAGCAGTCACTAAGAACCTAGGATCAATGGAAATAGATGTTACTTTAAGCCATCCATTAAAGACAGACCCACAAGTACCCAGTGTTAAAGCCCAAATCTCTTCTTGCACTTTTTTTGTTGTGCAAGTTCCACCCCTACGAAAGAGAAATTGATCCAAAGTTCCAGGTTTTCTTGGGTCTTTAGTCAATTTTCACATTAGTATAGATTTTTCGGACAAAGGCACTTGTTCCCATGTAACCAATTGCTCCTGTAAAGATAAAATAAGATATTTTGAAACAAATACAGAGCAGTATCTATCATTTATAAACACTAAATGCTGTCGGCTCTGGAAAGTTATTCCTTTTTCAGGATAATATCTTTGTTAGTATTCTCTCTCAATTTATTAAAATTATATCATTTGTTTTGCAAATCACCTTATACTATCATACACCAAGTCTGACCTGATGTAATACATTTAGAATTATCAATTATTTTATATATATATATATAATCAGTAATGATATGAATTAAAATACATCTCTTATAAAGCAAGAATAATTTGATGACAAAAATCTGTTAAATGAAAAAATGTCTTTTTTTCTAACTTGAGCATATATCCTAAGTCATTAAACCAACATTAACATGTTCTCCGAACTATATGAAACCATATGGATAAGTAAGAAAGAAGTGACTAGGAATTCTTTCGGGAAAGGACTAAGGACCATGGCCCAATGACACTGAAAGTCTAGAGAAAAGGCATTTTCTGAGGGGTTCTTCTTTATGTCTAAATTGCAGAAGCTGTGTGGGGGATAGAACAGAAGACATATTTGAGGAAATGGACAAGAGAGACAAGTAAGCAAGTTAGAAGTTTTGAAATGTTGTTTTTGAATTATTAGCCTCAAATGGGGCTCAAAACACCAGAAAGCCGAGCTATTTGTCTGTTTTATTAAATTAAGTTATCTACCTCCTATGCTTGGCACATGATAAGGTACTCAATCAATATTTGTTGAATGGATAACTGAAACGCATAGTTCTTTATTATAAATACTAAAGCATCTTTATCTTTAGTACAAAACGGACGGCCATTCAAGTCATAGAGAAGATTCTCCATTGGATTTAGGAATTTACCATTTAGTCCAACGTTATCGAAAGTTTAAAAGTAAATCTTCCATGAGTTAACACCCATACACTAACTGGTCACCTTTGAACTTTTATTCACTCAAATAGTGTGTGTAAGAAATGAAATGTCTATTCTGCCTTTCCTATATATGAACTGTACTTCAAGGTAACCAAATGGTTGATGAATGGAAGTTTCTCCTTATAGAAGTATCCCAGCTAATACATATAAAAGGAATGACAAAATTAGAATATTATAACCACTAATGGGTTACTTAAACTGGGTGATGGTTTTCAATGGGTGCTAAGCTCACAAAGAGAGACAACCAGATATTAAGTGCTCCTGATAAAAGTTTACAAACCATCAGGGAAATATTCTTGGATAAGTATTATTGAGTATGATCAAGGCTACAGATCTAACTACCAACTTTACAGGAAATATGGGGGGAAGCACATGGAGAAACATTAAATGACACCCAAGGGATATAGTCAGTACAATCCAGAGTGTGGAAAACTCTACAGGAATTCAAACAAACACCCAAGTTTCTTAAATTGCAAGGGAAGAGAGAACATCATAGATTTAGAAAGCCTTAAGAGACATTTTAACGAAGCAATACATGAACTTTAACTGGATCCTGATAAGAACAAACTGTATTAAAAGAGAATGGGGACAGGTCAGGTAAATTTGAATATTAATGGAATATTCAAGCATATTAAGGAATTATATTTATATATGCATATATGAAGTATATAATATATATTTTAAAATATTTTAGTTACATAAAATATAGATCTTTAGATATTATATCAATATAGTTATATAATAATTACAATGTATATTATGGAAATATTATAAAACATACATTGTTATAGAGAAAGAAATATTTATAGTTGACATGAGGTTCGAGATTCATGTCAGAATAAAAGGTGGGTAAGATAGGCATATAAATAAGAGAAGATTGGCCATGAGATGAAAATTATTGATGTTAGGTGTGTTAGGTACATGGGGACTCACTGTATGTATGTTATTGTTCTTCTTTTTGTATAATTTGAAAATTTCCCACAATTAAATATTAAAAATTTTGAAAACCCGCCAAACCAACAAAGCAAACCTATTTCCAATTTCTTTCACAATGAAGACATTTATTTTATAATACGAATTAATTATATTACACTTTAAAATACTGATAATTCACTTCAAAATAGTTATCACATAAGCCCTTACTAGGTAAGAAAAAATTCTTCACATTTTGTAAAACTGAATCTGAATTCTTAAAACATAAAAATATCTATAAAATGTTAACTAGAATCAAAAAATTAACTGGCATAGTAGAATACTAGTCCGATAACCATATCCAATTTTCCAGATTTATGAAACATCATTCCCCTTTGAGCAGAGATATGCTTAAAATCAAAACAGTATCAACCTAGAGAATCATTTTTCTTAATCTTATGAGTACTTCAAGAACAACCTTATAAAAATATGACTTTATAAAAAGAGAACAAAATATGCCCCCCAGAAAAGTAAATATGTGGGAATAGAAATACACTTTTAAACTTAATTTCCTTAAAACTAAAACTATGCTCAAAATATAAAGACTATACCAATCTATTCCCCACCTTAACACAGTCATTTCTTTTTTCTACATTTAAAAAAAATCAACAAATATTTTTCTTCCAATCACTGATACATAACCTGATAGATATGTATAATTTTGTATTATAGTAACATTTTACTTTGTTACAGTCTGAACTCTTCCCCCTCTGCCCAAAAAACAGATTAGCACTGAAGGCATATAAACCTGTTCAAGAATAAATACCGGGACACTGCCAAAACGCAGAGAAATGTCAACGTGCCAAGACTTTCAGGGAGCAAAATAAAATTTCAACAGGAAAAGCACTGAAAATTTTAGCGAAATCCATTCCATTTTATTTATAAATATCAAGATATTACCCCCCTAGATATTCCTAAGATCACATATAAAGTTAAGGAAAAAAAATTTAACCCTCTGCATATTTCCGTGATTCTATACCTCACTGAATGGTGGTGACAATCAAGAAAGATATCAAGAGTAGAGTTCAGTGAGCAATATTCTGAAGGAAGGATGGCCAATAATACTAAAGAAATCTTGTGAATGCCTAGAGATACACAGGGATGTTCCCACATGACACAAATCTAGTTTTAACCTTCAGTTCCTATTCATCTGTCCCTTAAAGTTGGTCAACTAATTATTACAGAGAAAGGTTATCACAATAGCTATAAATAAAACATGTGGCTATAATATAGAGAACTGTCTTTCCTTATAGCTTGTGAAATGTGTTTTACTACTTTACAGTAGACGTCATTTGTGTGTGCACACATGATCACACACACGGTATATATGAACAAAACAAGTTCTTTTCTTTAATTGACATATAATATTATACTGGTTTCAAGTGTGCACATAAATGAATAAATATATATAAGTGAATAATTAAATAAATATATACATCAATGATTATCACGATAAGTCTAGTTAACATCCACCACCAGAGCCATAAATTTATTTTTCTTATGAGAACTTTTAAAATCTAATCTCTTAACAACTTTCAAATACATAATACAGTATTATTAACTATAGTCACCATGCTGTACATTACATCCCCAAAACTTATTCATCTTGTAACTGGAAGTTTGTATTTTTGACCACCTTCACCCATTGCACCCAAAGTCCTACCTCTTGCTTCTGACAACCATCAATTTGTAGAAGAGATTCTACTGATGGAGGAAAAAAGCAATCCTTGTACCCCAAAGGGGTCCCCAAATGTCATACTAGGACCTAGCTTTTAATGAGATTATCGTATCTCCCTTATTCCACTGCCTACTCTATAGCTAAAGGTAGAACTATCAGAAAAAAAAAAGTCAACCAAACTCTTGAGTTTATTTTGGTGTTCCTAATCAAACAACAGAATGTAATTTCTTAATTTCTTATTACTGTATTTTCCTGATTCTGAAACACTCAAAAATTTACTCATGATATTCCAAGAATTTCAGAACTTACCACACATTATCCCCAAGGCTGTGCTAAATACTGCCATATATCCAAAGTAAAATGATGTTTGAAATAAGCCATACATCCTGAAATAGAACAAAATGACCATATGTAGTATATCCATTTTTACTTTCAAAATAAGACCTTAAATTCTAGTATTTAAATGACAAATTTAGTTTCCTAAATACAAAATGAGAAAATGTCTCCACTTACTTTGTTTTGAAAAAATAGTAGTAAAAGGAATACATGTAAACATATATTGCAGTTGATGCAGCAGAGAGAAAACTTGTCCATTGCCTGGGGGGGGGGGAAAGATAAATTTTGAATGAGTGGCACTGATATATGGATTTTAAAAAGCAAAGAATTTTATTTAAAAAATCCTTTAAAATTCTATATATTTAAAAACAAATGCATGTACATGGCATTTAAATATATCAACAAGGAGAGAGCCTACGAACTAGAAGGAAAGATCCTGAATTTTGTCAGATTCCCTATTACGAGTGACTTTAAATAAACCATTTCCTTTTTCAGACCTGTATATCCTTATGTTGAAAATGAAGCAATTCTTCCTCATAAAGCTCTTTCCGCATTAAGCACTTTGTAAAAATATTTCTAACAGAGTGATCCCTCATCAATACAAAAAAAAATTGACTGATACTATTCTTCATCATTCTTATCACTGAAAATCTTCATCTTTATTGTCGTTTTTATAACTGAAAAAATACCTATATTAAGTAGCAACGTTTTTATATAGATCTTTTACTCTACTTGACACTTCAAATGGAATCTTATTTTTAAATATTATGGTCTCCAGAGGTTCTTCCCATACTTACCACCTATAATCCTCTGCATTTAGTAGAAAGTATGTGCACACAATGGTCACACAGACGGTCACAATGCACAGGATGACCAGCACCAGCATCATGAAGCCATAGACATAATAGATCTTATATGCCCAGAAAGATGTGAAGATGAAATACCTAAATAAAATGCAATGAAGACATAGTTTTCTAGTCTTTATCTTTAAGCTCACCCTGTTCTTGCCAAGTCTCACTCACATCTTAGTACTCACTTAAATGTCAATATTTTTCTTTTGAGTAACTTCCTCTTACCTTTTTTCATCTATTAAACTCTCTAAAATTCTCTCAAAAAAATATTTTCTTAGATAATCTTTCAAAAACAGACTCTTTAGTAGGGCATTTATGTCTAAGCAACCTGATGAATTAGAAGGCTAAAGGAGTAAAATATGGAAAACAACAAATGAAAATAGTTGAAACTTCATATTTGTAAAAAAAAAAAGTCAATTCCCTCATTCCTTCATTTTTTTCTAGATACGACACTATTCCATCAATGTTACAGTTTATAAAATATCCTATTAAATTAAAAAATAGTTTTGATAGAAGTCCTCATTCAACTTGAAAGGGTGTTCTAACCTTTTTTCTTTTTCCTGATCTCTTCCTGTTCTCTTATTCGTCATTCATTCTTTCAAGATACTAACAGGGCCCCTACCACACACATCGGGGAAGCAGTAAGAATAGACCTGTGAAGATGACAAAGACTCTACCCTCATGGAGATTACTGTTTAGCAGAGAACACTGGTAAACGGGCAATCATGATGCACTGGGACATGTGCTCTACCAATGCACCTGAGAGGCACCTCACTGGTTTGGCTGTGTGGGGGTGGGGTGTGACTGAGAAGAATTAGACAAGGCATATGTGGGCTCTGGGGTGGGGTAAACTAGAAGAATGTTCCAGGCACAGAAATAGGAAAGGCCAAGGCTCATAATAAAGGAATTCACTGTATTTTGAAAAACTCAAAGGTCAGTATGTCTAGAACTTCAAATGAAAGGGTGAGAGCTAAGGGATGAGGTTGAAGAAGTGAACAGGGCCAGAATCTATATTACAAAGGCCCTTAATAGCCATGTTATGGAGTTTGGATCTTACCTCAATGAAAACAAGAAGTCTTTAGCAAAGAAGTGACATATTCAGACTGATACCTTAAATGGATCACTGTGGCTACCAAAGGGAGAATAGGCATGAGAGAAGTCAAAACAGGAGTAGTTAAAGATAAAGCAGAAAGGCTATCTAATGGAACAAAGTACTTGAGAAAGCAGAAAGAGATGTGACCTAGAAGATACTCAAGATAGGAGTAGAAGGGAAAAAATACTTGGAAGTCAAATCAGGGTGAAGACACAAAGCAGTATCAGACTAGAAGTACAGAAGAAGTTCCTGAACTGGCTTTATTAAACCAGGAGCTAGAATGACACACACTCGGATCCCTCTCCAAGGTACTGACTAATGCACATAGCTTACTTATAACTGGTAGGGTAACCACCAGGAGTTGGCCCAAATCTATGGCAGTTGTACTCATTAGTGTAGTAAGACGATTTAATTAAATGTCACATAAACCAATAAACATAAAAGCAAAAAGGAGGTGTGATTTCTGAAACTTACTTTGAATTCTTTAGAAAAATTCGGTAAGGTGAGTTGCTAAAAAATTATAATATTAGGTGTGGATGAGATGACTATAAAAGACTGGGGGACAAATGTACAAATCTAGAATTCTGCACTTAGAATGCTTCAGCAGGTCTTTATGTTCTTTTTCTACTTTAAAAAGGCTGGAAAACACAGATGATGTATTACGAATGGCAAAGGAAAAATGGCAGAAACATCAACTGGATACAAATCAAAGACCTTGGCTTTATATTTAAAAAAAAAAAATCAATAAAGGATGTACATTTAGTTGTTATAAATTAAAATAAAATTTATGTATTATCTTTTTCTATAATTTCCTTACATGAGGCAACTTTTTCAATTAACTCAATTATCAGGTTCGATCATGTCTGTTAAGGAGGTGTCCACTGTACAGGAGAGAATCAGCAGTAGGGTAGCTAAAAGGAAATATGTAAGAGAATTTTGAGCAGTTACAATGACTGGCATTTTGTGGGCCAGGGCCAGAGGTATGACTGCAGTTCTTGAGAAAGTCCCACACAAAGAACTGCCTTGCCTAAAATGCCAGAGCATTCCCATCAACGAACACTAGAAAAAAGGCTGAGAGAAGAAAGGCTTACATTTTGCAGGGGTAACCAAGGATGCAGATATGAAGCATGGTAATTGGGCACAAGGTGGCATATCTCCCATCCCCAAACACATGCACATTTCCTAGCATTTCCTAGGAGACTAGGAATGACTATGCATCCAGAACAGTTTACCTAGTTCCTTGGACCCTCAAAAATATTTTAAAAATACAATAAAAACCAGTAATTCCTAACATCATGCACGTGATCAAAGGTTGGCCTAGTATGCATGCTTTAATTTCTAAGATTTCCTGTTAGGTAAGAGAGGTCTAGAACATAATACAAAAAAGTATAAACTTCACCTGAATATTTGAGAACAGAGCAAAAACTACTATTAGATAGGTACACAGATCCCTTTCTGAAAACCATAAAACTAAGACTAATTCTATTACTTTCCCACCATATCCTAAATTTTAAATTCTCTAAGTACAATTAAATCCTTTAACATATAAAGGTATTGCCAAAACTTACATTTCAATAAAGATTGAGCCAAAAGGTAAAATTCCTCCCAAGCAAACAATAACTGCAGGCTCCATGAACCTGAAAAATATTAAAATTAACGGTAAACTTCTAGCATGATTTTGTTACATTATGTAAATCTTGATAATAGAAAGCAGATGCTTGACACTTTAAAACAATCTGAAGGATAGAAACAAATCGGTTAAAAGAAAAATTAAAATCCAAAGAAGCACAACACATAGGTGGGACTTAAAATTAGTCCTAGAATATGGTCAAAATTCTTTCTAGCATTAAAGGCCAAGATAAGAATTTGAGGAACACAAATTCTTGTCAATGGCAAATCTCAAAGAAGACTCTTAAGTGTTTCCTCCTTTCTACAACTCTTAATAACTTCTAAGAACTTAACAGGCATTTACATGCAGAAAGCCATAG